GGATCGTGTGTGTTTTCTTCATCCTGCAGAAACAAGCTGCAGAGGAGACACACTGCTCTGAACAAACTTGCTGCTGAAGGACTTTGTGTTTTTGCCAGAGTGTATACATATTAGTATGTGGCTGAGTAAATTCATCTGTGTGTCAGTTTGCTTCATTGACTTTGGCTTCATCCATAATTAAATCCACATAAATCAGCCCGTCAGTCACTGCAGTAATGTGAAGGCTGAATGACATTTTAACGAGTGCGGGGCTATTCTTGGGTCACACCGACCTACCTGGTACGCATTCTCATCACTCATACTGAGCCATTCATTATCACTCCTCTATGCCCCTCCCTTCATTTTCAACTTGCATCTCATGGCCCTTCCTCCTCTTCTCAGACTGTATTTTTAGATCCTCGTATGGAATGTAAATTTCTCTTTTTTGTTTTTCTAAAGAGGAGATGTAAAAGTGAAGTGAAGGTACGAGGGGAAACACGTCCTCTGCTGCGCTCTCATCACGTTGTGTTTGTGCATCGGATGGGAAACGGTGAAGATTCTGTTTTGGATGATCTGCGTGTTCATCCTCGCAGAGTGGATTCAAACTAGAGGATGTCTGATTGGTCGTTGCCGATAAGACGCGGGACGCTGGGCTCCGATAGAGGCCGAGATGGCGGCGCAGCCTCCAGAGGTCACGGTCACCGTTTTACATGGAGACTCCATAACAAAAAGTCAATGTAGAGGGGGAGCAGGGGAGGGGGAGTTCAATTCAGTTTAGTTCTCACCATCTATCCAAATATATATCACAACACTACCAGCTCTTTGTCCACAAGAAAATATACTTAACAAGTTAGCGCTCTCTCTTCAGTCTATCTCCAAACTATCCAGTCACGAAATGTAATCGCACACTTTAGGGTCCTCCTCAGATGTTATCTTGGTCAGTCATAAACCACAGAACAGCACACTGCCCACTGTAATTTAATAGAACAACGATTTGAGAAGATATCGGTAGATTAATCAGCTATCAGCGTTTTGCGTTATTCAAAAGAGTCAAAAATAAGTTTGGCATGCGTCCCCAGTCCACAGCAGTATTTGACTTTGCTGCTGTGCTGATACTCGTGTCTGCTTCTCCAAACTAGTCGTCTACTGTAGAGTAACTCAACTTCAAAACACCCAAACTATCCCTTTCATTTCTCTGCAGATTCATCCTGCCTGCCAGTCTATCAAACCGACAACTTTTCAGTCACAAACTCTATTTTTTGATTTCTTGTATTTTATTGCACTTATTACCGACACAGATGAAGGCGCCACTCCAACCCCTCCCCTTGTTCCCTCACTGCCCCCCACCAAACCATCAGGGACTTATTTACATTTTTAGACAGAAACTGCTCCCCTCGGTCCTCAATAAATATTTTTATGCAAAAACCTTAAAATCCAGCCGTAAGCTAAAGAGTGTTCCATCAACACTAATGGAGACGCTGTTGATTTGGCCAATCTGATTAAATTAAATGATGACATTGGCAATGAAAACCTCCTCACAGGAAGTGCTGAATCTCAACGGTCTCGGTGGTAACGAGCGCTCGGTTCATGGAGAGCTGGACAACTTCTTGTCTTCACATTGTTGTTTCCTCTTTAATCTCTTGGTTCTTCTTGGCACAAAACATCACAGACTGAACATCACGGACTGAACATCGCAGACTGAACATCACGGACTGAACATCGCGGACTGAACATCACGACTGAACATCGCGGACTGAACATCGCGGACTGAACATCGCGGACTGATCATCACGACTGAACATCGCGGACTGAACATCGCGGACTGAACATCGCGGACTGAACATCACGACTGAACATCGCGACTGAACATCGCGACTGAACATCGCGGACTGAACATCGCAGACTGAACATCACGACTGAACATCGCGGACTGAACATCGCGGACTGAACATCGCGGACTGAACATCGCGGACTGAACATCACGACTGAACATCACAGACTGAACGCATTTCTAAACATGAGTGTGCACTTTTACCGACATCAGATTAAATCGTTTCCACCTCGGCGTTGCCAGAATGAGAAGTTGGCTAATGCTGCTGCAGGTTTACCTGATGTCCTTATAAGGAAGTAAATAAGTCGTACTGTTAAATTATGTCCAGGTGGCAACCTCGATGCTGAAGTGTCTTATAACCTGCATTCTCTCTAATGTCCAGCAGGGGCCGACTCCTCTGGTTGTATAGAAGTCTATGAGAAAATGCTGCTGTAGCTACCAGAGACGTTTACGTCGTCTCTACGTCGCTCTACGTCCACATTTCAAATATAGTAACTTCTGTTCATTGGTTGCAAAATAACCAACATGGACTTTAAAAAAAAAAAGAAATGTATGTATTTCATTTTGGAAGAAAACCTCTCATTCGACCTCTCAGCAGCACGGTGAACAGTGACACTTACTTGAGGTTTAGTGTTTCACGGTCAACTCTATTAACCGAATATGTTGGCTGAGGAGGAAGAGTGAAGTGTGTGTATCGTGGTGTAGAACGGGACAGTCCTTTTAAATACAGACACACAGAGAGATTTCTTTAGCTGCATCTTTCCTCTTCCAGATGGAGAAGGTGCGATTCATGTAAGTCTGAGTCACCTTCATGAAACAATGCAGATGAACAGGGCCGGTGACGAGGTGCCAATCTACCGTGTGTGTGTGTGTGTGATGACGAGTGTGGACACCTGGTTTTAACTTCTGTAACGGTGGCTCCGCCTCTCCTCTTCACACACACACAAGCCGTGTTTCCATTCGATTGTCAAGCAACATTGAATTTTTTTCAATTTTAAAAAGTTTGAATTGTTCTGTCATATCAGCGATGGCCACGCTTCATGTTGTTCAGAGACAGTGACGAGCGTGTTTTGACGGCAGACACATCTGATCACGTCACGAGAGTTAAACGTTAGCTACGTCAGAATATATATTCCTTATCCCAATTTAGAGCACGAACTTTTTCATCAAAAAAACCCGCCTCAAGCGAATACAAACAAAACCAAATTAACATTTTTTGACAAAAACGAGTAAATAGATTATATGAAATGACCTCATCTTGTGAGGAGAGAGCCTGGAAGACGTTCATAGTATAGAGTACAAAGTATAAAATAAATACCCACAGTTATACATCGTATTTGTTGTCGTTGTCATAGATCTCAAGCCCTCACAGTCTCTCACACTCAACCACTCACCAGGTGACGTCAGTAAGTCCCTGAGGGTTCAGGGTTTGAGGCTTTAGGGGGGACATTGGATCCAGGAAGAGGAACTCTGTGTTCTGTGGTCCAGCACTGACCTCCTGTGGCCGGTGATGTGATTGCATCTGCTTGGTCTTCAACAGACAATCAGCTTTACAAATACAGTATTTCAAAATAAATGCTCGGCTGCTGTGATTGTTGTAATAAATAACAGCAGCTTGCTCAGATTCACTGGAAGCAGCTGAAACACGTTCTTATTCTTCCAGGCTGTCTCCTAAAATAAATGGTTCTGGGAGTTTTTAGTCACGTGTTTATTTGATGCTGAATGTTTTGGTGGATTCAGCTCGTTTGAGAGCAAAGACGTGAGACAACTGATGTCTTAAAGCAGCTCTCTTATGTTTCATTAGTTTAATAGACTCAATATCAAAGTGACAAAATATGACTTTATTTATTTATTGTACAGTTTGCATCAGATTCAAACACGTTCTAAAGGTGCTAAATGTGATACTGAGAGCTTTAATATATATATATATTTATATTTAATAATATATTTAATATGTAAAGATATAGTGTTAATATGCAGTAATGTCTACCCGAGCAGTGAATGAAGCTCACAATGTAAGATCTCACGCCTTTAAAAAGAAAATCACTGACGCAAATGAGGAGACTGCGAGAACACATCCATTCAAATTTCACATTTTATTAATGTGCTTTTTACTTATAATACTTATATTTAAATATCTGTCCAAACAAATGTGATTCTACACATTTCTAACACATAATTAGGAGCATCTGTATGTCCTTCATATGTTCTCCCTCCTTGTTAATGTCAGTGTAATTGTAACTTACAACAGAAAGAAAACACACACATGCAACGCAGTAAACGTGTGACATGTATTATAAAATCATATGTTAGTGGAAAGTGATCCGATTTGTAATCAATGTTCTCTTTCTTTGTGTCCTAAAACATCCTGCTCTACTACACTAGTGACTGAACCAGTAACCTCTCAGCAATGAACAGTTAACGTTTACTAAAGCAGCTGAAAACACCTCCCACTCAGTCAGACGAATGATTTACAGCAGACGGTGACGTTAACTTCTGATTCTCCCTGCTGACGGGCGCCATCATGTGTCCGGATGGTGCCACGTTGGATCCTACAGGAAGTGATGATGGAGCAGAGAGAGAGAGAGAGAGAGAGAGAGAGAGAGAGAGAGAGAGAGAGA